GAGAGAGAGAGAGAGAGAGAGAGAGAGAGAGAGAGAGACTTCTCTCAGTATTTGGGAGGCTTCCAGTGCCCCGGATGACCCCCAGTGAGAGAAGGACAGGATGACACTCAGTGACATTAGCACCATGTCGGCCTCACACTCAACATTTAAATGCTCAGTGCTAAGAGTCAAAAATGGACAGACCTCAACAAGCAATTACAACTCAATCACTCAGCAGGGGCACGGAGTTTAAATAAAGATTTCTCTGGGCTTTGTTATTAAAGGGGACATAACACACACAGCTTCACCCAATCAAGTTGATCTTGAGTACCTATAGAGTAGTATAGCATCGTTCATAGCTCCAAATAGTCTTTAGTTTGATCATATTTATAAAAGAAAAGTGCAGCTTTCCGATTCTCTCTGAAAACAGCTGAGCTGCTGGAGGCGTGCCGTGGGCGGAGCTAAAGAGTGACGAGCACTTGCCCAATTGCCAACAAAACACAGACATTTGATGCCTAACAGTACAAAACAGTAATGGCAGAAGTACAGGATTGTCACAAGAGTGACAGTATCAAAAGGTAACTAAATCACTTCTGAGCAACTATATTTACTTAATCATTCTGTATTTTGTCATCTAATATAAATAAATTAAAATATTTAAATACTTTTTAGTCTGGAATACTCAATACTGGTCATTTCCAGACCGGGTTTGGGCTTCAGCTTATGCAAACCTCTATATCACAATAATGCCCATTCAACTTCTGAAAACCCATAAATGAAGCTATATAATGGGATCAGATAGAAAAGTGATGCCTTAACCAAACATTAACTTGTGTTCTCAACCAGCCAGCTCTGTTTCTGGATCATTAATTTCAACAAAGTGACATCCAGCGCATCCAGTTCAACATTCATGCTCATCTAATCAAAACTAATTCAGCCATGTTGCTGCAGCAATCATTTCTGTATGCTCCACCAGCTGCTACATCTCCCCAGGTGCATCTGAATCCATGCTTCATGACCAATGAATAATGAAGTCAGCAGTATAGAGTTTATATGAGAGACAAATGATATGTCAACTGTCTTGAGGGTGATGTGCCATATTCCCTGTAAATATGGTCACACCCACCAGACCTCAGGTCAACACAGATGATCCTAAACTGAAAATTTCAGTTGCATTGAAAAGGGGGCCCATGCGTGGACCACTTAATCATAGTGACCGTTCAACCGCAAAGTAACAGACTGAAATCTAAGCTGTCTGATCGAGTCAGGTCTGCTCTCGTCTCAAGGGACACGTTGAAGGTATGGAACAGCTTTGTACAGGCAAGTATGTTCCTTTTAATTTACAGATCCGCACAATGCTCCTGCATTAGTGATTAGATGCACGTTTGGAAGTGTCAGCAGTCCTTCAGGGACACAACAGGACAACTGGAAGGGAAGGCTGACACAAAAATAAAAATTCTATCATTTACTGTACATCACCCTCTTGTCCTTGTATGACTTTCTTCTGCAGAACACAAAAGTAGATATTTTGAAAGATGTTTCAAATGCTTTTGTCCCAATGAAAGACAATAGGGTTCAAAACAACACGGCACCCTATTGACTTTTACTGTATGTACAAAAAAATTTTTTATGTGTTCCACAGAAAAAAGAAACAAATACAGGTTTGGAACGCCAGTCCTACAGAGACTGTATTATTTGCATATGTAGGTTTATACTTTCTCCCACTCATTTTTCTACAGGATTCCATGCTTGATAGGATCATGAAGACTGTGTGACTTAATTTGACATCATATAATGGTAGAGGGAACCTCCTCATGACCGTCCACCACCGGCCTCCAGATCATAAATCTCTTACAGGGCAGTCCTAACTCCAATGATTGACTGAGTGCCTTAGAAAATAATTTATGAACTCCGTCAACACACTGTACTGAGGGAAGACAGGCACTGCTTACATAGTGACAATGACAAGACCTTCAAATTAAGACTAATTAAAATTAAGAGTAATTAAATCTACAAACTTGACCTTAATTTGTGTGGCCCTTTTCTGGTAAATACATTTAATGCAGCATACTTTAAAATGTATCAATGGATCTGCTTGCTGACAAAAATATAGAGGGAACCTCCTCATGACCGTCCACCACCGGCCTCCAGATCATAAATCTCTTACAGGGCAGTCCTAACTCCAATGATTGACTGAGTGCCTTAGAAAATAATTTATGAACTCCGTCAACACACTGTACTGAGGGAAGACAGGCACTGCTTACATAGTGACAATGACAAGACCTTCAAATTAAGACAGAATAAATCTACAAACTTGACCTTAATTTGTGTGGCCCTTTTCTGGTAAATACATTTAATGCATCATACTTTAAAATGTATCAATGGATCTGCTTGCTGACAAAAATAACTAATTTATAAAATATGCACATAAAAGAAAAACCTCAATTTTTGGCAGGATAACATTGGAATCTTTTAGCAAATGATGTTTCTTTTTACAAAAAAAAAAAGCAGAAGAGTGCACTGTAATAGCTTTTATAACCATTTCTAGACAACTAAGTTAGACAAACTCTATACAAAGTCTTTAAAGTTGTCTTCAAATGAAAGTTTTCTATAGGTAACAAAAAAAAAAAGCAGAAGAGTGCACTGTAATAGCTTTTATAACCATTTCTAGACAACTAAGTTAGACAAACTCTATACAAAGTCTTTAAAGTTGTCTTCAAATTAAAGTTTTCTATAGGTAACATAAAAACTGTATCAATAACAGTCACATTAATGTCATGCCTACATAATAAGTTAATAGAAAACTGCAAATGTCAATATTATGTGGCATTAAATCAAAAGGAAAAGCTGACAATTCAAAACAACAAATCACTGCTCATAAACGTGCAAAGTCCATTACCCAAATGAATGTACAATAATAAAATTGTTAATAATAAAATTAATATCGGTTTACAATAAAGTGTTTCGAGTTCCCCATTCAAATCGATATTTGAAATTAAATCCCTGCAGCACCTGTGGCACAAAACATGAGCACACTGTTTAGCCTAAAGCTAAGATTTTGTTTCACAACTACTGGATACACCTTAAACGCAACAATGGATAAGAATCTTACCATGTGGGACGCCTTAAGCAAGTCAGTCCACTTTCCAGATCTGAAATGTTCTTCATTTGCCAATATTTTGCGACCCACAGGCTACATTAGCCAGGCTGCTAAGTGTGCGTCCGCTCTCCTCCATGTGCTCAGCGGCACGCGCATCGTGGGGCTTTTAGTTTGCATCTGTCAGATCAGGGCTTGACGTCACCGCGCGACAACTTCAACTATTACTCCACAAAACAATAAGAAATTAACTTCTGGCTCGTAATTTTATCCCATATAGTCTGTTTAGCTTCATTATCATCCTAACAGTGACTGTAAATATCATAGTGTTTGACACTAAATCTTTTACCCTAAATGACAGCCTGTCTCAGACAAGCAGAGGAGATGTCACTTATTCAGGACTCTTCTTTCTTTGAGTTTTCATCTACATGGGTCCAAGGTTGGTCATAAAGACACTTACCTACCATAAAGAATGTAATAATCATAATGTATTTGCTAGAAATTATTGTGATGAGAATACACCCTTGCATGTCCGATTAGGCAAACCGTCAAATGACATGACAGTATTTACCTCTGGATGTTTATGCTCCACAGGGGTAAGTGGTTCATTTGAGGATGCCTGACAAACTGGAGCATGTTTTAATGTTTCTTTAAGTCATGGACCATTAGAGTATTAAAAGTGTGAACAGATAAGGTTTAAGCATGTGTGCAAAAAAGGCACACAGCACATATTTATTCTGTTATTTTGTCCTCATCCATCCAGTAGTTTAGTTAATCTTCTGACATCCAGTTAGCAGGACAAAAAAATGATATCAGAGAAAATGACAAAAAGAAGTTAAGTTAATCAAGTTAAAACTGGGTATGAAAAGGAGTATGTATGCCATCTACCGAACCCTTAAATACCCATTTTTCACAAACATGGCACTTGTGAGTCGAAGGTCAGGAAAAAATAAGCTGGTTTCCTTATGAGATTCCCTGTTCCAGTGTGGTCTTCAAAACTGCTCCACTGAAAGGAAGGTTACAATTTTTGGGCAGCAGGTGCATCGGAGCTCTTCTAAGAAAGTTAAATGCCAATTACTCTCATTAGGTACTCTCAGAATTAGACACACATCTTTATTTTCTTGTATAGAACATGCAGTTAACTAAAACAGAGCCCACTGTAAACGTCACTTACTCAAATCAGTGTAGCTAAGATCATGAACAGTCAGTGACATGAAATCAATATGTAGATGTGTGATTCGGCATAAGTAGCTTTACGTAAGGCACTGGCTTTGATGCTTGTAAATAGAGAATGTAATTCTGACACAAGCATTAGTCATCCTAAAGTTACAAACAGATGATTGCATTGCCAAGGTAAGTTATGTAACACAGAGTGTCTTACACTGAAAATATGCCAAATCCATTAAACATCAAATGTGTGCGTGACTGTATCTTCTTAATGGATTACCTAATTGAAGGCTTTGAAGTCATCATGAGACTGAAATAGGCAAAAGTAATGAGTCCACAATACAGTATTAGCCAAAAACACAGTTTTATAGAGAAATGCATTTTATGATTCAGAAATCAACAGCATCTTGAATACATATGTGCAATATGTACAAAACATTAAGTTAAGGCCAACAGTAAATGGAAACGCAGACCATTTCATTACTAAAAAATAAAATTAAATACAAATAAATCTAACCTCCATTATGTTCAAATTGTGGCAGTGTAATTGTATAAATCAATGTCAGATTGCTCACTATTTGCCACACCCTCGAGACCTTGTATTGACTTGACATAACCATACAAGGATGATAAAAACAAGTTCAGTCCATAAATTAAGTCCAAGCAACTTAAGAACTGCTTAGCTGTTCAAGTCTCCGTTTCAAATGTTCACATTTCCTCCTTAATTGCTCCTTAAGTGAGATCAGTTTTTGTTCATCTTCTTGTATGGTCGCTATGCACTCCGTCGCCTTCTTGAGTATCACCACTTTGGCAGCTTTCTCGTTGTTGGCCACGTCAGGAATCACGTCTCTCAGCGCGAAGAAACTGAGTTTGAGCTCGTTCCGCCGTTGCCGCTCGAGCACGTTATGAGTCTTGCGTTTGTCGTTATCCTCAGAGTCCGACGTCCTGGGACTCGTGCATTTACGGTTGTGGTTCATTTGTTTAAACACCCGGATGTTACTCTCGAATTTAATCCGCTTGACCGCAGGCTGCTCGCTCCGCGTGGATGGCTGCGCGGCGTAATTGTGTTGGTGAATATTAACGTGGCTCCGCTTGAGGACGACGGGGCTTTGATGCGTTGCGTTTGCGTCAGGCTTTCTCACAGACTTTCTCTTTTCCACCGTGACAACGTCGATTTCCTCCTCCTCTTCGTCATCTGTTTGGGTTAAAAAGCAAACAAATGTAAATTTGCCGCTCTGCTTATTCATTCTAGTCTAGACAACTTTGCGTAGAATAACGTGCAGTGGGCGGGGGCGTCCCTTTACGCAATTGACGCAACAATCTAGTATTAACACTTTAACCACCACAAATTCTTACATTGTTTAAAAAAAAACAATAAGCAGCAATAATTACAACTTATAAATCGAAACTTATCTAAGAGTGTGAAGTAAACTTCGTTTTAATCAGCATTAAAAAGCTGACCATTACTCACCGGAATCGCTGTCACTGCTGCTCCCACTGTTTGGTGGAGTATCCAGTGGCAGTGTTGTGGAAGTCGGTGTGGATGACGGTTTAGACGGCTTTGAGCTGTCAGTCAGCGGGAAAGGGAACACCACTGATGGGTCAATGCACTGTGAGGCAGGGGTGCTCATGTCCTGAAGGTAGCTGAGGTTAGGGCTGGACCGACAGCCGTCCACAGAGTCGCTCCTGGAAGACTCTTTCCTCGCCGCCTGGAGCGACGCTAATCTCTCCGACACCACCTTCTCCAGTTTAGCCGCGGCGGAGAAACCACTCCACATACAGTCCTGAATGATAATCGACTTCAGAAAAGACTGGGAGTAGTCCGCCTCGCAAATAAAACTGTGGTTGACCACGTCGTCCCCGAGAAACTCCGACACCATTTCCAGCTGGTCGGCCGTGGAGGGGAAGGGGTCTGACAGCGAGGGACGCCGGCTCGGGGAGAGCGGCGGAGTGGGGAGCAGTTCAAATTTCTTCCATATATCCTCACTGGGCGCCGGTGGCTGTCCGTGCTGGTGGTTATAGAAATCCTCATCCTCGTTGTCGAAATAGAAATAGGGCTGGTAGGAATCGTAGTCGTAATCGTAATTTTTACTCGCCATACTTGAATTCAGCGGCATGGTGAATGCCTGTGTAGAATACATTATGGTTAAAAACCGCCCTTTAAATGTTGCACAACTAGTGATTCATCGTAAGTAAACTTCAGTGCAGTATAACGTTAATTGTCTTACAAACCCATCAACTTACTGAATGAGTCACGTATTAAATAATACAGAACACTCATGTAAACTTAAAATATCTAAGATTGTAGTCTTGATATTATGGTCTAAATGGTTTAAAGACCAAAAGTTCGCCAAATATATATACACAAATAAAAACGTCCAAAATGAGAATAAATCATAATTCAGAAAGACTTACCGCAGCTGTGGTGAAACTGAATGAAAACTGACAATATGGTGAGATGTCAGTGTAAGTGAAATATCAGGTGAAAGTAAGTCCAAAGTGGGAGTGGGTCGCGCCGCTCAACCTCCGCACTTCTGCGACTACAGCAACAGAGCGGCTGCTTGTCATTTACTGCAAGATTTCGAACAGCTGCTCCCGCGGGTTTTAATACTACGGATTGTTTTTCCCCTCCCTTACTCTAGATATTCTTGCGCCGTTCCCGCCAAATGTGCAGGGCGTAGAAAGATGAACAGAACACAGAGTCGTTAGTTTCTTGTTAGTTGTTCTATTAACACGTAACTGAATGACAATGTATGTAGCAATGAAAAAAGATAATTAAGATGTGACCTTATTTAATGGAAACGAGTTACACATGGTACTACTTGTCATCGCGGAGGTTTTCCGGGGCGGAGCTTTAATGAAAACATTGCACATTGAGTTGTGCGTGAGGATTATTCCGAGAATCTACTGAGTGTAGTAGGCTACACCAGAACCCAACGCCTCTTATTGACACAGTTTACTAGTTTCTCTCACAGCTGTTTGTGCTGGGTGTCAGAAGGGGTGATTTTATATGATTTTATATCACAAAAATGTAACTGTTTCATAAAATAAATCCACAGACATCCTAATTATCCTAAATAATTATTTCTGATAATTACATTAAGCACTCTGACGATTATTTTTGAGAATGAGAATTTAAATATTTATTGAACTGTTTATTGTTAATTAATGCAGTTACTGTCGATATCTGCATTACAGTAATGCTGTAATGTTGCCTACTACTTAGGCTATGTTGTAATCATCATCATCATCATCATCATAACCAATATTATAAATAAATCAAGATTAGAGTCAGTTTTATTACTGATTGTCAAAATAAGTCTGATACAGTGTTTGATCTTGAACTGATGGATGAAGGAGCAAACGTTCTCGATTCTCTCAGAAGTGGTTAGTGCTTCCCTCTGGTGGCTATCTGTAATAAGTATCATAGGATTTAACTCAATTGAGTGATATTAATTATTATCTGTCTGAGACAAATATTGAGTTTATCTGCAGTAATTAAGCTTTTAAATTGAGTGTTATATTAAGCAGGATTCAAATACTTAAACCGTTTTAAGAGGATTTTAAACAGGTGTTTATTTGTGTCTTGGGACCTAATCTTTTTAGGACTTAGAATTGTTGAATATATGTAGGCCTATAGTATATTGATTTAATTGTATAATCCATAATAATACTTAATTGTCTTAATAAATAAAATATTTATTATTTTATAGGCACAATAAAATAATATTTTCAAAGCTTGGAGTCTGTAAGATTTTTTGATATTGATAGAGGTCTCTTATGCTAAGGCTGAATGTATTTAAAAAAAAAAAAAAAGTAGCTAACATTCTGAAATATTATTACAATAAAACTGGTTTCTATTTTAATATTTGAAAATGCTAAAAGGTAATTTATTCCTGTGATGGCAAAGCTGCATTTTCAGCAGTTATTTCTCCAGTCTTCAGTCACGTGATCCTTCACAAATCATTCCAGTATGCTGATTTGGTGCTCAGGAAACATTTTTATTATCAAACAGTTGTACTGCTTGTAAAAAAAAAAATAGCTGCATTTACACATTCTTTTTAGGATTCTCCAGTGGCCGACAAACTCAAAACAGATCCCCCCCCCCCAAAAAAAGCCATATTGATATTTTTATTTCATTTTATTTTATTATAATTGTATTTATTTTTATTTATTTTCACAGAACATTGTGCCTTGACAGTTGTGGTTACCATTCACTTTTATTCACTTACTTTATGCTATAAATATTTTTTTTGTGTTCCACAGATCATAGAGCTTTAAAAAATTGGATGAGTGAGTAGTGAGAGTAGTATGTCTATGTGTGCGTCTTGATACTTTTCAAGACATGCTCAACATGGCATAGTGACGTGTGATATATGGCTTAGCACAGATTCATAAGGCACCACCCTCTCACACTATCCTTCTGAGAATCGACAGGTCTGCTTTACTACCAGACATTCAACTCGACCCGTCTTCCCTTAATTTGCAGAATGCCAAGGGCCCATGTTTAGTCATGAGAGAGGATCCTGGGTGTGAGGGAAGTGGGGAGGGGAGGGCTTTTACTTTGGGGTTACTATTAAAGGTTTGTGTCTCAGAGCCAAATGTGCGCAAGGGAAAACCTGACCCCATGGGATTGCACTGTACCATACATAGCGTTGGACCGTCTGCACTTTATTGTGGGTGGAGGCCAAACATTTCTCTTTAATCTCATCACATTCACACATCAGATTTTTGTCAATGTCTGCCAGGTAACGTTAAAATATATCTCAATTCTCAAATAGTCGTATGTACAGTAGTGGGAAAGTTTGATTAAGGGAAGTTAATTGTTGAAATGTTGAATCAAACACCAAAGTTGGTTCGGGCAAACATGAAAACTGTCATTGTTTACTCACCCTCATGTCATTCTAATCCGACAGTCATGTCATTCTTCTGTAAAACACAAAATAATATATTTTAAGTAGAATATTTTAACTTTTTATGGCCATACAATGAAAGTCAGTGGGGTCCAAAATAACACTGGACCCTTTTGACTTTCATTATATCAACAAAAACACTTCTTCCAAATTTCTTTCATGTTTCACAGAAAGAAAGAACGTCATATAGGTTTGGAATGACATAAGGATTAGTAACTTATGACGTTTTCATTTTTGAGTGAACTCTCTCTTTAATGCTTTAGGTATTATGAAATTATAATTAACATTGTGTTATTATTTTTATTATTATAACAGCAAAAAATCTAAGAAATCTATTAAACGTTAACTAATAAATAATGTTTTTTTTTCATATTAAGTTTACTAATGTTAAATTAAGTATTATTATATGTATATATTAAATGTTGAAAAATTGTTAGTCTATGACACGTAATGCATTAATTACTGTAAATGAATTTAACATTATGGTAAGATGCTACCAGAAGAAACATTCCCAGTCTTATGGGGTTTTAATCAAGATATTAAGTAGAATATTGTATTAACACCCCCGCCCTCAGAAGTGAATGTGTAACTGGCCTCTGATCACGCGCAGAGCGCATGCGTGCTTCAATCCTGCACTTACCCTCAAGATGATAATGTCCAGGGTCTCTGTGTTCAGATGTCATGACAGTGTCAAAGTTGCACGATAGGGGGCGTCATTTCACCGCTATGAAATCAATGTATTCGCTCTCATAATCACATTGCAAATGTGGTAAATTTGACCTAATTTAGTTCCCTATTAATCAGACTCCATATATGTCACATCTAGAGGATAATTCTCCGTTTTCTGTGTTGCAGACTTCTCACCAACTGCAGTAAAAGAGACAAACACACTCTTACCTTCTTTTTAATAGTAGACAGAACACAAGAACCTCACCACAGACCACTTTAAACCACATTTTCACTGTTTAATGAGAGGACTGAAGACTTCTGAAACTGTAATAAATGTTTCTATCATGACTTTGCATTGTGCAGGAAATCTCAAATACAGAACAAGCTCAGCCAGACTTCACTATAATCGAAATGAAACAAACGCCGGCTTAAAACATCCTTAGAAGCTGTGTGTATCTTTGTCCCATGGAGATACTTGAAAAACTGCTCATTAGGGAGGGATCATTATTCAGACTTTATATTACTTTAATATTTTCCATCACGAACATCCTGAGATACAAAATGAATGCCCAAAATAAATTAAGATAAAACAAAAAATACTTCAATAGACGTAATTATGAAAACACTTAGTCCAATTCTTTCTTTTCCTACAATATACAGAGTTCACAACATCACCCATACAAAATAAATCATATTTTATACACCTACAACATATGGTATGTATATATAAAAAAAAAATAGGTCCTCTAGATGACCCAAAAACATTTGTCACTCTGAAACTGTTGTTTTCTAAGATGTCCATCAAATTCATTCTCAATTCCAATAAAAATCTGTAATATATATATTTATATATATATATATATATCCTCTGTTGACATTTCTTGTAATGATAAAAGCCAGAAAAAGAAGAAAAAAAAACATGTTGAAACTGTGCAGTGTGCACTCTGGACCTCAAAAATCTTATCAAGTCTGTCCTGTCTGTTAAATATTAGAAGTAAAAAAGAAGAAGAGGAGACAGAAAATACATTCCAAGCGGATGATGTAACTGCATTTAGTGTAGTCTTTCCTTTGAAGATTCAAAACGTGTAGGACGGCAGCACATTAAAGATCAGCATACAGAAAAAATAGCAGTTAATGCACAACATTGCTTTGGTACAGATCAATATCTTCACTGTCCTGCATCAGAAAATAAAATCTCCTGACGGCAGCTGGAAGACGCATGTACGCATTTGTATGTCAGCGTGTGTACTGTAACATAGATATGCTGCAGCAGACGACTGTAGTCTGTGTTTATTTGAACTGTGCACACACTGAAAAGGTGAGCTGGGCTCTCGCTTCGGCAGGAGGGAAAGGCGGCAGCAGGGGACAGTAAGCAATAAGAACACTGCCCGAGAAAGCAAGAAGGCCCTGATTCCCACAACGCATCCCGCTCAGCCTAGAATCCACTGCTCAGTCTTCCTCATCCTCTTCTCTCAACTCCACGATGTCGTCCATGCGGCCCCCGGCCCTGACCTCGTTCATGGGGGCAGAGTCCTCCCCGTCGATGGTTATGTCTTCATCAGAGTCTTTCTTTTTCTTCTGTGTGGGCAGAAAGAAAAATGCTAATCATCTTTCCCCAAAGCACTGGGCTTCATTTATGAAACACAGACCAAACTAATTCGTTTAAATCATTCATAAAAGCCATTATTACATAATTTGTTATACTGAAGTGGGATAGTTTAAGTAAGAATGATTTGCAAAGGTTTTTCAATGAAATATGTGTGGTGGAGCTTGTAAAATTTAAATTGAATTTAAAAAATCAAAAGTGGGGCGTGTTGTCACACTATATGGAGTTGTGAAATCATATAATTTAATGGGATTTCAGTTAAATTTCATGAAATAACTAAAATGTAAAGTGTAAAGTGCACTGCTGTTTAAAAGTTTACAAATATTTATTTATTTATTTAAACTTATTCTCTTATGTTTACCAGGGCTGCATTTATTTGATCAAAAATACAGTAAGATTGTAAAATATTATTTCAATTTAAAATAACTGGTTTCTATTTTAATATATTTTAAAATGCAATGTATTCATGTGATGGTAAAATATTTAGTGTTCACATGCTAAATTGGTGCTCAAGAAACATTTCTTATTATCAGTGCTGAAAACTGTAAAATGTGAATTTTTTTTTCAGGATTCTTTCATGAATAGAATCTTCAAAAGAACAGCATTTCTTGAAATATAAACCTTTTGTAACATCATCAATGTCCTTACTGTCATGTATTATCAAATTAATGAATCTTTGCTGAATAAATGAATCAATTTCTTTAAAAAAATCATATTAACCCCAAATTTTTGAACAGTAGTGTATAAAAACCATTGCTTTAACAGACAGACAGCTACACTATTTAATGAATTGCATAAAATTAAAGCAATTAAAATATATGACAATCTGCCCCCATATAAATAAGACAAATTTATCTCAAACTGAAATATATGGGGGTAAAAAATCTTTGTTCTAAGAACACAGTTCAACATTTAGGTTAATAAAATCTACCTTCACGATATAGTTGACCCTTGCCTTATATGTCAGTGTTTTTTATTGTGTTTAAAAAAAGTTTAGTTTGGAAGACTGAAATATTGAACTTTGAAACCGGCATACAAAACCACTGATAGAGAAAGCACATTTATGTAACTGGACTTTTGACTCAAGACCTTATAGTTATTGAAATAACTACCCTCACTCTCCTGTATGTGCGTATGCTTAAAATATACAATATACTATTGAAATGAACATGTTTGTAGATTCATGTCTGTGGAGTTGCCACAGCATTACACTGATGTATTGTTAAAAGGTGCTTGATTATATTGTTAATGCCCTTTTGTTGTATTCACATCAAACAGAAAGCAGTTTTATCATAAGAAAAAACCTACAGGCTCCTGTGTTATCGTACCTGTTTTCGGTAGACATAGCATGCTGCGATTGCAACCATAGTAGACTCCCCAAGGAAACCAGCCAGCAGGGATCCAACACCAAGTGTGGCTCCATGTACCCTGCACAAATTGAAGCGCAGAAAGCTTTTAAATTCAGTCTAACCGATTTTATTATACAATTTGATGCACTGAAGTACAACGACTAATGACCTATATGTGAGTAATGAGTACAGTCAAGCACAACACACTTACCCCATGTAAGGCAGCACTATGAGACTGGTAATGAGGACAATGATGCGGAGGACAGAGCTGGGCGCCAGGACAAAGGTCTTCTTCAGGGTCATGAGCCAACCAGTCAGGTGAGCACGAATCGTCACTGAGGATAAAAAAAACAGTGCATGCAAAGCTGGTCTCAAGCAATCATGTGAAAACATATTTTACATGCCACTCATTGCTATCAGTACTGTTATATCATAAAAGTGAAGTGCAATTAAATTGGATGGTACTTTGAGCTTCATTGTGGTTCTTTCTCTCTCAGTTTCTGTAGGCCTTGAGGCATTGTAACTGAAGCATGACCACTCTTGACCTTTGCCTTTTCAAAAGGCATTTTCAAAGAGCAACCGGTCCTCCTAAGACCATCTGTCCATTTGATAATGCACTGCACATCAGACCTTGAATCATGCGTTTTTGAGAATGTGCAGCTACAGAACTTTGCAGAAAGGTCCGCAGATTTCCACAGAATTTGAACATGGGCCATTCACAAAGTTCAATATAGACTACTGTTCAAAGTTTGGGGTCAGTAAGGTTTTTTTCTTAAAGAAATTGACACTTTTATTCAGCAAGGAAACATTAATTTGATCAAAAGTGAGAGTAGACATTTAAAATGAATTTAGAATGAATATTAGACTTGCACTCTATTCATTTACTAACTGCTTGTTTTCTTTAAAAAATTAACACTAGCTTCTCTATTCTTTTATTTATTGTATTCTATTTGTTTTCTCTTTATTTATTATACAATTAACAAAAAGCAAAAAAGAGGCCTCTAACACTAGCTTGCTCTATTCTTTTTCTATTCTATCTGTTTTCTTGTTATAGCACTTGAATATCATTGCTCTTTTGTTGATTTTTGATTGCTTCCTTTGTCCTCATTTGTAAGTCGCTTTGGATAAAAGCGTCTGCTAAATGACTAAAATGTAAATGTAAAATGCTACAAAAATTTCTATTTAAAAAATGCTGTTTTTGGAATTTTCAAAGAAAAATAAAAGAAAATCACAGTTTCAAATATTAATCAGCACAACTTTTTCAACATTAATAATAAGAAGAAATGACTCTTGAGCAGCAAATCAGCATATTACAATGATTTCTGAAAGATTATGTGACACTGAAGACTGGAGTAATGGATTCTGAAAACTCAGCTTTGCCAGCACAGGAATAAATTACATTTTAAGATATTAAAATAGAAAACATTTATTTTAAATAAAAATTACTGTATTTTATTACTGTATTTTTACTGTAAAAATAAATACAGCCTTGGTGAACAAAAACAACCCCAAACTTTTTAAACAATAGTGTATGTCCTGTGTCTTACGACTTCATTAAATATTTTTGCTATTTTGATTATTCAATTGTTTTAATCATTTTCAATGTTTTTAAATTCCTTGTTTTATTGTTGTGATTATTTTTTTTCTTTTCTTTTATGTAAAGCACTTTGAATTACCATTGTGTATGAAATGTGCTATACAAATAAACTTGCCTTGCCTTGCCTTGCCTATGCTTTTCTGATTCCATTAAGAGTGTTGTAATATTATTTGTTAAAACTGTACTTTCTATGTACTTTCTACTGGATGCTAAAATAAGTATACAGTACATATGTCCCCCCAAAATAATAAAGAATGTTTGTTTTTATGTAAATCGACTTAAACAAAGACTATAGAATACCCTTAAAATTTAAAAAAGTGTACAAAAAAAGCCTTAAAAGGACTTTGACTTAAAGTGCAATACCTGGAATGGGAAAGAAGGAGAAAATTCGTAATGGGGTGACACACAGCTCAGCAAAGGCATGATCTACGCCAATGATGTCCACCAGGATCCTCTCAGAAATGTGTGGAGCCCAGAACACCACAAAACAGAGCTGCACAGAGAAAAACACACTACCTGAATGGAGCTATCCAAACAAAGTAAAAGTAAAGTAAAGTAAAATAAATCATAGTAAAATATAATGCAGTTAACAAGAAACAGGGTAAACAAAAAATAGGCTATTCTGGTTATTTCTGTGAAATTGCACTTTGGTTTTCCTGGTTAACTAGTGGAATATATTATCATAGTATACATGTTGATTTTAGATTCAGATCACATGTAAGCAAGCATATTATACTCACCCTGTTCACAGAGCTATCAAAACACTATCATTTACACTCATAACTGTTTATATCTACAGTGACTGAGTGGAGAAACGCCTTTGAAATATGGCTAACAGCACTGGAATGGGAAGTGTGTGCACAGATACGCATGACCAGACATGTTAGCACAAGAACTCAACACTTGCTGTAACCTCTTTACATCAATAACACAAACCAACCATCAATGATACATAATTTACAATCAAGTCCTATGGGTTTCCAGCTTTTACAAAGCAAAATGTTAGCACAGAATCTCGATGCCTTTGAGTGATTAATTAAAAAGCAAAGAAACCACAGTATTCATCCGTAGCAGTGCATTCATGCAACATTTTATTGAAGAGGAGAACATCTGGGCAAAACTATATAGTGTTTACGTAAGAGAGTAAACAGAAGCCTTGTTATATGAGTGACACGGACTCATACAATCATCATTTTTCCTCCATATCGCTGACAGAGAGGTGAAATTATGGCATAAAAATGATAGCTGTAGTGTAATACCATGAAGGCTTTAATCTAGGTCAGGAAGGGAAGGTCTGACCCTGTTACCGAGGCAGAGCGCATCAATTAATCATTTAGCCTGACTCTAAAAGCACTCACAATAACAAGACACACTATCCTAATGCGCTCCTTATGGCTTTACAACAACGTGTTTAGTAGCTGAATAAGAGCCTTTGGATTTTTGTTTATTGCATTTTAAATTCAGGGGACAAATGGAAAAATTAAAAACTGAATTATAAGGTAATATAATGTGTACAAATTAAGCTAGTGTGGGTTTAAATACTATACCTGTAGACCTAAGGAAGAAGTTGTAAAGTGGGACTTAAGCAACAGCACTCATACTACCCATATTCATAATGTATGGAACATACGTTGTTAATGGTCACAAATTAAGATTCAAACCAAAAGTAGTACAGCAAGCTCTATCTACCACGCTTTCATATTCCTGCTTTTCATATATGGGCTGCTACGACTTAAATCACCTGTTATATTCCTCAACTGTAAGTTGCTTTGGAGAAAAGCGTCTTCCAAATGAATAAATGTAAATGTTAATGTAGATAGAAACCTCCTCCTCCTGATTGGCTGAACAAAGAATATGACCACGGCCCACGGTCACAATAAACTCCTACAGCACCCTTGAACTCGCTGAACTTCAGTAACCGCTGTTACCAAAAATATGAAACAAGTGTTATTGAAGCCAGATGGAGACAGAGGAGAATGTGGATGAACTTACCGTTATAGAAAGAGCCAAACAAACAAAAGTGAAGCGCTTGATGTCGGACTTTGTCACAACTGTACCACTGTTGGCCAACTTTTTGCTTGGGTTATTCTGGAAAATAAGAACAAACACAAACAGCAGATGTCAAGAAAGTAGTTTTCTAGTTTTTTAATTTCTTCTTCAGGATAAGTTTTGAACATTTAGACTCTGCATATCATCAAAAAATGTTTTTAAAGAAAGCAATAAATGCATTAAATTGATCAAAAGTGACAGTAAAAAAATATATTTTAAATAAATGTTGTTCATCAAAGAATCCTGAATAAATGCAGCACAACTGTTTTCAACATTGATAATAATAAGAAATCTTTCTTGAGCACCAAATCAGCATATTACAATGATTTCTGAGGATCATGTGACACTGAAGACTGGAGTAATGGGGGCTTAAAATTCGACTTTACCATCACAGGAATAAATTACATTTTAAAACATATTAAAATAGAAAATAAAATTTTAAATAATAATAACATTTCACAATGTTACAGGTTTGACTATATTTTTGATCAAATAAATGCAGCCTTGGCGAGTATAAGACACTTCTTTCTAAAGCATTAAAAATATATTACAGACCCCAAACTTTTGAACGGTAATATATATCATCTTCATCCATAAAATTATTAACTACAGTTGGCCAGATACCTGTGGCCAGAGAATGTCCCCTCACTTCCTGAGGACTTCCTAATTGTGGATCCTGCTGATCCTTTTGTGGATCCAAACATCCATAAATAACAGCACACTACTGTGCGCCTTTTTTAATTACAGTCTCTGGGACTCTAGCTGCAGCTCTGTCTCCATGAACCCACTCTATTTACCCCCAAAAATAATTGCTTTGTCATGAAGTAGAACAAGATAATAGACACTGCAGTATTAGCACACAGAAAAGGTGGATGATATAAACTAATTGTGTCATCCCTTAAAGGTATGAGACAAAGTTAGACAGTGTGGTATAAATAAAAAGCAAATAAACCACACTGACTCCTTTTCCTGATCTTTCAGGCAGGATACTGGGAGGAGAAGATGGAAAGCTGTCATTTTAACTTAAGTATATATGTGGAGGATGATTAGTATTAAGCATTCAGAGAACTGTATGATTAAGGATTAAAAAAGTGTTAGTTTAAGGTAAAACAACAACATTTACCTTGTCAAATGCAGGGTAAACAGCTCTGAGTTCAGTGAGCCATCCATATGGCATATGACCCACTGGATATGTTGCTGTGAGAACTGCGACAGCCTGGAAAACAATAACATTTAACACCCACAATTTCATCTGTTTATAATGAATGTTTCTATTGTAGAGGAGCTGAGTGACGTAAAATATTTCTGACATCTAGGCACCAAACAACTAAACTGACAATAAAGCTTGTTTCGTCATTATAGTTATAAACCTATTTTAAGAGTATATTAAAGTAGGTTTGAGGGGGGAAAAGTACAACAATTTTAGCCTTCAGTGGTAAATATGGCCCATAAAGCACAGGATGCAGATGAGATGCAATTACGCCACATTAACAACTATTATAAAATGAGTTTTATTCAGTGTTACTTTTGTATTATTTTTCATAGTAATATAGTATTTATTATTATTTTGAATTAGCTTTTAATTTTGTCATTTAAATCTTAGATGATTTTTATTAACTTTTAGTAGTAGTTTTTTGTATTTTAAAAACATTTCTAATTAGCTTTAATTGTTTTTATCTCAGTGTTATTTTTTAGTAATTTTAGTACTTTAACTTAATTTTATTTCAGATAGTTGCCAAGGCAAAATTTGAAGGCATAGCTTTTCCATCGTTATCAGATTTGTATTTTATTTCGGCATTATTCCAATTACTGAAAACAATTTTTAACAGTTTTAGTTTACAATAACAACTATTTTTATTCACTAGATGCATAATTAAATATAGACACTATACATGCATTTTTCATTTCTGTAGTCTCAACTAAAATCATAATTGTCACAATTCTTATTAAAGTGCTGCTCTGTTTATACCTGATGACACTGCTTCACTTAAAATAAAATAGATGCCAAAATAGAAAATGTTCCCCCATCCATTTCAGTATATTTTCATAGCAAGGGAAGCTGAATTTCACTGTGAATGTATTGCTAAATTGAAATATTAGCTGAATATTCACACATACGCTGTATCTAAATGACTGAAAATAATGATAGTGACTATAATTTGATATCTAAATACTGTAAAGGCAAGTGTGTTCTTGCCATGGGACACACTAACCTCTGTGGCAGCTGTGCTTCCTTTCAGATCCCGTGACACAAACAGGTTGACGATGGGTCTGCTAATCCGCTGCGTAGCCAGAATGAGAGCCAACGGCCACCAAAAGCTTAGCATCTTTTTAATAGTGGCATCACCCTATTACACAGAACGAGTTTCAGTAAATAGCACAGTTTTAGGATTCTCACAGGTTTGATGGGGCAGAGCAAGGAGAAATTAATATAGAAAACCAATAAACTGACCAGTGTAGCTGTGATACTGAACTGAGCAGGTCAATAGTGAAGGATTTGAATAGTAAAATACAACTTAGTTGAACTGGTGTAAAGAGAGTCAATGGACATACCCCAACCTCAGGCCCACTGGATTCTGGGATGTTGTCATGAATGTTCCTGTAGTAACCCAAACCAACAATAGTGAAGCGTACCAAGGCGCCCATATACAGAGAGAGGATTGGGATCAACAAGGGCTCCACACACTCCAGGTGACTGTGGAGCAAAATAGTGACAAACACAATCTAGAGAGAGAGAGAGAGAGAGTGGGAGAGGCACAACCGTGTAACCTGATTACAATGACAGTGATAAATATAGCCGTTCTTGTGGCACATACAGACTCTATTATTAATTCAAACCCAAATACATCATTAATAAAAACAAATTACACCGCGACTATGATAACCCATAATCTTCGCCTTCAATTATCCTTCATACACAACCATATTCACATTCTTATAAACATACCAATACAGAAAAAGAGTGTAAGAAGACATCAATAATCAAGCAATGAAATGCTAACACATACCTGTGCAATAACATCAGAAATTGACGCACATCCCACCAGGAAACTGTGCTTGTGCTTCAGAAGGATTCCAGCATGAGTCCAGGCCTGAAACCACAGATAACGGTCACACTAACTTAAACAATACAACATGCTAATCTCGTTAATGGATAGAGAGAGATGGAACAGGGACCCCCGTTACATATTATATTACATATCAGCTTGTAACACTCCAAAGAGAAAGGAAAAATTGAAATCGCATCATATGACCCCTTTAATATTATATTTTTCTTTAATGTAAATTTCCATTTGTTCACAATAAAAAAAATTACAAAAAAATCAAGCAATAATTGGCAACCCCCCTGCAGTGCCACATTTCATCACCTAGGGGTCATGGACCCCCTGTTAACTGGGTCCGCTCTCTCGAGACTTAACACTTTTAATAAAACACTGCTGCAGCTTAACCTCCATTGACAGGCACAGGATGTTCGCGTGGGCTGTTATTCATCCAAAGGAGCTTGATGGGTTTCCAGATCTGAATAGGCTCTGATGCCTGGCCTTACCACGCACACTTACACACACATACTCTCTGCCATCTGTGCCAGGCAGGCGAGCCAGATCTGATGGTCAGAGCGAGAGCACATTATGACATTACAGCTAAATATCCAGGGATGAGACGTCACGATACACTCACCATGGCGTCAAGTAAAGGAAAAGCAGCCAGATAGAGAAACGCCTTCCGGGTCTTACTCCCCACAGTCTCATCCACATGATGCAGTTTGTTAATGATGTAATAGCCCAGACTTGTGTAGGCTAAGGAAAAGAAAGAACCAGATTAATATGTATTATAGTCAATAATATAATAAAACATAATATTCAACATGATGGCTTTGCTGCCAAAACTGGCACAAATAACATGCAAGGACAGAAAACATGATGGCTTTTTGTTAAAATTAGAACAAATAAAATGCAAGGATACAAAAGTTCTAATATAACAAAATAATGTAATATAATGTAATGTAATATAATAAAACAAAATAAAAATTTAATTAAATTAAAAAATAAAAGTATTCCCACAACCCTACACAGAACATAGAGAATAGATGGATAAGAACATAACATAACATAACATAACGTAACGTAACGTAATGTAATGTAATGTAATGCAATGTAACATGATGGCTTTGCTGTTAAAACTAGAACAAATAAAATGTAAGGATACAAAAGTTCTAATATAATACAATAAAAGATGTAATGTAATAATATAATATAATATAATATAATATAATATAATATAATATAATATAATATAATATAATATAATATAATATAATATAATATAATATAATATAATATAATATAATATAATATAATATAATATAATATAATATAATATAATATAATATAATATAATATAATATAATATAATATAATATAATATAATATAATATAATATAATATAATATAATATAATATAATATAATATAATATAATATAATATAATATAATATAATATAATATAATATAATATAATATAATATAATATAATATAATATAATATAATATAATATAATATAATATAATATAATATAATATAATAATACAGAAGTTCTCGTGTCTCCCATTTCTCCTGTTTTTTTCCCCCTTTTCTCAGGAATGTGTGCAGTGACGTGATCCACAGATGGATGACACAGCTCTACCAAACTCTCTGACTGCGCAAACGACCATAATATGACTGAGACTACACTCAAGATGATGGAGAGTGTCCATGTTATGCTAACACACCGTAACTTCTTCATTTAAAACACATCATTACGTATGGCAGACAGGTGGTGGCTTAGTGGTTAAAAATTCATGCCTTCTTCCAAAAAGGTGCTGGTTTGTATCCTATATCCCTCGGGGTTACATTCTTTCTCCATGTACTCATAGCAGTAACTGCCATATGGGTACTGCTGAGCGGCTGGAAATGGCTCTGATTTCTTGCTTCGTATGTAAATGGCTATTTGTGTAAATGCAAATGTATTTGAGCTAGAGAAACGGACATATTCAAGATAAATATCCTTTATTCTTTAAACTAATTTTTGGATTAGATTGTATAAATACACTGTTTCATGATGACTAAACCATTTTTAACCACATCCCACGAACTTAAGTATTTGTAATTGGGTAAATATGGGTGGCAGAACTTATTTCCTGCCGAGTAGGAGTGCAGTATTTTGCACAATTTGTTTAATGACAATATAATCATAGAGGGTGAACAAAAATCCGAAAATAAATGGCGAGCTACCCCTGTGAGTTTGAATAGAGTTTGTTTGGGAGACGCCTCTCCATTCACAGAGTACACAGAACAGGCATGTAGTAACCTGGCAAAAAAGCCCTTGCGTCAACACAGCAGATGAGACCGTGCTTGGAATAAAATGTTCCTTTGTGTAATGAGTTTTTTTTTTTCCAGAGAATGGATGCATCTGCCGAGATGAGTGGGGTTTGAGTGATTCAGACCACTTGAGCTAAAAGGAGGTCCTTCTCCAGTCATAACATTGCTTACTAAGTCTACCACCATGACACGTTTGTTTGGAAAAGTGAAAAACAAAGCAGTGTTCCCTGTACATGTAGTACAAACTAGTCATGCAAGACCAGAGGCATATGTGAGGAAATAATAAACTGGCAGACTGACCAATAAGAGTGTGGAAAATGATAGCCACGGCTCCTGCGGTGACCATACAGAGGACTGCCTTGGTTCTGTCCCGTTTGCTGTTGACAAACACCAGCCCTACGTTCTTGAAATCGCTCATAGGGCCAGTGAAGAACTTCATGAGGGAGTAGGCCAGACCATAGCTGGCCAGCATTTGTACTGCATCCTCTTTAACTGTTGCAATACCCCTGTTCAAAGCCTGTAGAGGAAGAGAGAAATGATAAAAATGCATCCGAATCAGTTTTTTTTAGCATTGTACAAGATGGGTTAGTAGAGTGATAAAAAAAAATGTAGACAATATAGATATAGATGAACCTATTCTAAATCTACATGAATCTAGAAAATGATTCCACACTAAATCTAGATTTAGGTTTGTCTAAATCATAACCTAATTTCTGATGTTGAGGGATGAATTGAAAGGGTGATAGGACAAACTATCACTCCTCATGGCGATTCCTCTACACAAAGAGGGTTTTATTCCCAAGATATACAACACTACCCCTGTATCAACCGACTAAATGCGTTTCATGGCATGTCCCCTAGAAAAAGATCCAGATCCGAGCACCAGTTTGCTATATTGGACCACTAACCCAGAATTTACTCTTAACAGTGTTTCTGTCTTTCAAAGTCACACATGTGCGAAAATACAAACTTCACAGTGTCACAATGCACCATGTGTCAGATGTCTAAACATGATTAAGCAACAGTGTCAAGCAGAAAGAGGAAGACATGTTATAAAATTGCATTCATTCATGGACCTTTCTTGAGAGAAACACCGGTAAACTGTCATCAGAAACAAGAGCCATTGTAATCTTGAATAATGTGGAGCTACAGTAACTACAAATCATCTCAATGATGACTAACTGTATTACGAACAATTTTACAGCTTTATTGTCACATGCCAGAATATATCCCCATCAACTCATGAGAAGGTGATTTGGCAATGTGTCAGATGTCAAACCTGTTGGAAAATGCTGAGATGTACATAAGTTCTACTTGCTCTACAGCTGTGGGTGTTATTGCACTAATGAATAAACTTTTCTGCCCTGTCCTTGACTCTAACGTGGTGGCACCATTCTGTAATACTTGTTGCAGGAGAATAATGCTTATGTTTAAATCTTAAGATTTCATTTGGACGATACAACAGTAGATAGTCAGTCACAGAATTGATAGGAAGCAGCAAGACCTGTACAATAACAGATAAAGTCAAAAGGACGTGTGAATGGAGGGTTCTTCTCCTTATCTGCCTTCTTCTGACTCTGCCACTTCATCTCCAACGCCTAAGAACAATGTGCAGTGAGATAATGATTGTCTGTTACTGTGGGCAGACAGGCTCTTAGGGTTCCTGCTCACATTTCTTCTGTATGCCATTAGTGATTCTGAAAAATTAATTTGTATCTAACAAAAATCGAATGGCAATGTTTTCTTCAATGAATTCTTCAGTGTAGTGAGTTGTGTCCATCAAATCCATTCTAATTTCAAAATATTCTAATTTTATGTTAAAAAAAAACAACAACAAAAAAAATAATTTGTCACTTTAAGAACTGAGGGATTGCGTCAGCAAATTTAATTTCCTCAACAACTCTCAACTGCAACAAAGCTAAGATAAACCGATAGTGCATTTTATGGGCAATACCAATACAGATATTTTGGTAACACTTTAGTATAGGGACCAATTCTCACTATTAACTAGTTGCTTATTACCATGTCTATTAATAAGCTGTTTATTAGTACTTATAAAGCACATTTTCTGCACGACCATATTCTACATCCCTAATCCTACCCAATACCTAAACTTAACAACTACCTTATTAACTATTAATAAACAGCAAATTAGTAGCTTATTGAGGCAAACATCATAGTTAATGGTTTGTTAATAGCGAGAATTGGACCTTAAAATAAAGTGTGACCGATATTTTTTATGTCCAAGTTTTTAATAACCAATTTGAAAGTTTTGTTTTTCTTTTGACACAAAAAAAACTTTTTATTTTACCACAAAAATAAAACAATATGAATATTTGAAATATTGTTATGTAATTGAGTTACACATTTCATGCTGAAGAATAAATTACTTTATTTTAAAAGTTTTATATTTATCCAAACAATACATTATTATATAATGGCATTCATTTATTTGTACACCTAATATCGAAGAACCGATAACCGATTTAACTGAAAAAGGTGAATATCGGAAAACATCGTTTGCTCAAACAGATTACAGTCTTTCTCTAAATGTTAATTTTCAATAAATCACAATTATTTGAGTTTAACATGACAATAAATATTTGTCTTTGTAGCCAATCCATTTTAGACACAATGACTGTTATAAAAACTACTGTAAGCGCACAACATACGTTAATGGTAGACAAAAACAAGGCCAGTTCACGCAGAGTTGACAACAAAATCAGCCCATCCAAAAGTGCACATTACTCTCAGTCAGATTGCTTTTGCATTGTTCAGTGTGACACATGTTATTGGATGAGCTGTATGGCCAGCTGTTGACGAACACACACAGCTGATCAGCTCATGTTGTTTGTGATGATGCCTTGTTTACCAAGGGCCGCCGTTTCACCGATTCATTAAAAGAAATAAAACCACAGGGTCGCCCTATATCCTATAAATTATGTGGGCAACGCATTACATGTTCGCAAGCCACAAATAAACAGACCTCTTATAGCGAGGAGCACGGATGGATGAGGGATGCCATTGCTGCAGTGTCCAGCTCCAAGGATACACCACCAATCTTACGTCATGCAGCGCTGTATTTAACACACAATTCATTAACACTTGCCTGTTCGCCGAGGTCGATGGCTATGTTGGTTATGGCCAGCGGCACCAGGAATCGGATGAGAGGCCAGTAGTGCGTGAGCGCCGGGAATTTCACCATGTTCGCCTGGAGGAGAGCGGCAGCACCGCCAACATCAGCTGCTCGGATCTGGAAGGATGCGAGGCCGATCACAGCCCGTCGAGTTCTGAGTGTTTTCTAGCAGAAATCCGCCGAGATCAGGTCCGTCCCTGCCCTCCTACTCAACAACAGCATCATAAACAATGATCTGGTGCATGGGAAAATAGGAGGGTCACTAGAAATTTCTGCTGACGGCTTCTCCATTGTTCACCCATCAGTGGAGAGGAAAATAAATACATATAATCGGCCGCGGCGATTAAGTGCGGCACATGTATAAAGCCGTATGCATGGACTCGCTGGCCCAGCCGCTATTCTGCTGTAGATGGCCACTCGGTTAACTGTACTTAAATTATCATCCTTCCCTAACAACACGTGGGGGACGGTCGGCGCATAAAAGCCACGCCTCTTCTAAACGTCACCTGCTGCGTGCAGAAAAACAGCACACTGCTGAACAACACACAGATGTCTAAAATAGAGTTCATTCTCAGAGAAGATGCTAGAGAGGGATGAGCACGGCACAGGGAGATGAAATCTTCGTCCTTATATCTTATCTGTGTGTAGGCCTACAAGTGAAATGTTAACACAATAAATAAAATATCAAAATGAGACTTAAACGTTAGACAAAATTTACGTGGCTTTCATGAATCTCAGTGAAAACCGAACAACATCTTATTGTCGGCCAGCAGGTGGGGCTGCAGAGCAGGCAAGTCTTGTGAGACGCGCTGCTGCTTGACAGGCTGTCAATTAAAGGGACCGTTCACCCAAAAACGACAATCGTACAGGGTTTTGCGTGACAGAGGATGTCACTTTGACTAACATCTCCTTTTGTGCGCCATGTGTATTGTATAGATATATAATAAACAGCTCTCAACCAGGGGGCCCAGGGTCCATTAGGGTGTCAGCAAACTCAGAAAAGGGGCCACAGGATGACTTTAAATTAAATAAATAGGTGAATTCATTCAGGTTTATTCAAATTACCTTTGAAATATAAGGCAATTTGAATAATACATTCAAACAGCCTTCGAAATTATTGGCATAAAAGTGTCCCAATTAACCTGAATTCACTATTAATATATTAAAATTATCTATCTTTAAACTAATTAAAGATGCTAAAAGAACATAAACTAATAAAATATTTTCCCCTCTTAATAACTGTTTACATACAGTTCTTAAAATATCTGTAACCACATAACAAATCATGGTTAATTAAACATTAACACACTCGGTTTCTGTTAATACATTTTTTTTTCATAGTTTCATAATTTTCAACTTTGTTGAAATTATAGCTGAAATGCTGAAAATATCTTATTGTCTATGCTAGGGTAAAATATTGACTATTGTGTTGGGGAACAGATGGGGCTTTGAGTCAAATACACCATGAAGTCACATAGCATAATGAAATAAAATGTGTTAATACAAATCATGAGAAGATATTACTGAGAAGAAAATATCTACTGGACTAGGGACTGTCATTTTTTATTGCTGTCATTATAGATAATTAGTTTTAAGTTTCACCTAAATTGTTACTGAGTCCCACTTTATTAATCTAAGCTTGATCTAATGCTCGATTCTGATTTTTATTTCACTGGATGATGCAAAAATATTGATTCATGCCTTTATTTTGTCTTGCCTTAATTTTTGTAATTTTAAACTGGACTGCCTAAGAACTGCATTGATAAACTACATTTGGTACAAAATGCTGCAACTGCAGAGAACACACAGTACATTTGCATTGGTTACCCATTAATTACAGGACTGATTTTAAAGCTATTCATTTTTTAAGCACATAACGGCTTGGCCAGTCAGAAGCATATAAAGATGCTAGTAAAATATGCACCAAAATATATTTTTTTGATCTTCTAATGCTGATCTTTCTTTTTTTTTTTTTGTCACAATGTAATGTAAACCATACAAGATTAATTGAAACTGGTTTGGCTATTACGCCCCCAAAAACTAAACCTTTTACCAATTGAAAGGTTCCTGCATTCATATACTTCCGAGACATCTCTTCTGGCATTTCTTTACTCCTTCGTCATAAAATTTAATTAAAAAGTTTCAGTGAACAATTAATCTGAGATGGAGGCGGACTGTTGTAGTGCTGCATGCTTCATCAGATGCTGCATTAATTATTGAGCTGTGCCTGTTTCTCATTTCCTGCCCACGCTGTGTAAATTGCTCAGCAAAGTAATAAATTGTCAGACTATTAAAATGATGACAAATGAAAAAGACAATACAAGATACTGAAACCAGTGGAAGGACACCAAGATCTTAACCTGAATGGCACAATAAACTAGCTAAATTTAAATTAGCCCATTATTTACTCACCCTCAAGCCATCCTAGGCGTATATGACTTCCTTCTATCCGGGGGGTGAACGAAGTCCTCCTGTAGCGAATCGATGCGTTTTTGTAAGAAAAATATCCATATTCAAAACGTAATAATCACTTTAATCTAGCTTGTGCCAACAGTTGTACACGGAAGCAGCTCTGGGCGGATGACGTATGAGGTCAGTATGATCTCCCCTGCGCTTCCGCGTGTGTCACTTCTGAGCGGCGCATGCGCTACGCTGAACTCATACGTCATCTGCCCGGAGCTGCTTCCGTATACAACTGTGAACTCAAGCTAGATTAAATTGATTACGCTTTAAATATGGTTATTTTTCTTACAAAAACACTCAATTTGCTACAGGAGGCCTTTGTTCACCCCCCGGAGCCGTGTGAGGCCCTTTTTATTATGGATGGATGCGCTTTATTTCACTTCTTTTGGACTGATACACTGCAACACCTGCTGACTGCCATTAAACAGCTTGAAAGATCAAAGACCATTTTTAATATAACTCCGACTGGATTCGTCTGAAAGAAGAAAGTCATATACACCTAAGATGCCTTGAGGGTGAGTGGGCTAATTTTCATTTTTGGGTGAACTAACCCTTTAACACCTAAAAATCTAGAAAAGTAGAAGAGCAAGTCTAGATTTAAATTTATTGTAATAAGCAAATAAATAATTAACCTAGTAAACTATTAATTTCATAATCAATTAATCAAAAAAATATTTAAAACTTTTCCTCCCATCCTAGCTGGAGTTCCAGCTATGTCTCATAAAACTATTGCACATAATTTATTTAGAAATGCATACAATTTTATCCTTCTATTTAAAATTACAAAGGTAGCAGAATAAGGACAAGCAAATCTTTAAACTTATAAGAATTAAAACATGAAAGAAAAAAACATCCCAAAACATAAACTCAAGAACAGCTATGTGGAAAACATGATGGATTGTAACTCCTGAGTTCGGTAGATTGTGTGTGATTGCCATTTACTCTTTAAAGACGTGTCGTTATGCTTGGTTGTCCATCTGAAGGTGGATTCCACTTTGGCCTACCATATGCATCAAATTTGAAGGACTTTTTGGGGATGAGTACATTGTAGTGTCTGTCATCTTCTGTAAGCAAGCATAGAGGAGGCCAGTCCTTCTTGTGGTCGTTTGGGTAGTATGTAATAAACTCTTCAGTATCACACTTGTACAGCCGAACAACCCGCATCGTCTGCTGAAGGGAATAACCCAGGAGGCACATCTCCACCTAAACAACATTATATCATCAGGAGAGGTTCCTTCATAAAATATGATCACTTCAACCATTGAAACACTGCAATCAAATGAATCAACAGTAGATATTATAAGCTAGAAGTTAAATATTTGTACATGATTGGTCCATAAATAAACAAAGCGAAATATTTTATTTTAACTGCACTAACCTGTTCCAGCCCACCACTGAAGCCTACATGTCTGAGGTGGTTGGTGAGGAACGTCTTAGGGCATTTGGATGAGTCACGAGCAAAGAGAAGCCAGCAGAACTCTGGCACATCAGAGCCCTTCTCCATATCTGAGTGCAAATGAATGGCAGTCCTCAGCATCAAGAACTTCAGTGCTTCCAGAAGCTCATACTCCTCATCGTGACCTCTGAACACCTGCAGGCACATACGCTCCCTCTCCTCAAGACTTTTGCACTGGACAGTCTCTTGCCACTATAGGTAAAACAATAAAATATTGCCAGCAACTACACTTAAGTGTGGAGTCAATACATTTTTCCCCCTTTATTATGAAAGGATGCATTAAATTCATCAATAGTGACAGTAAGGACATTTATACTGTTACAAAAGATTTCTGGTTCACATAAATACTGTTCTTTTGAACTTTATATTCATTAAAAAAATTTGGAAAAAATGTATCACATGTTAAGTAGAACAACACTGATTGTTTTAAACATTAAAGCAATTTTTTTTCTTGAGCACCAAAGCAGCATATTAGATTGATTTCTGAAGGATCGTGTGGTACTGAAGACTGGAGTAATGGCTGTTAAAATTTCAGCTTTGCCATCATAGGAATAAAAAATATTTTTAAGTATATTTTAAATTAAAATTAAATTTCACAATATTGCATTTTTGATCAAATAAATGCAGCATTGGTGAGCATTAGAGACCCCTTTCAAAAACATTTAAAACATCTTCCCACAAAACTTTTGAACAGTGATGTTTATAGATATTCATACATAAGCAATTAAGAAAAAATTAAATGTTACCCTTTTCTTCAGTAGCTCCAGACATTGTTCAAGATGCTGCACTTTGCTCTTGCTAGTTTCAAATGGAAACTGCCACTCCTTAATGGAATCCTGATCAGACTGAATTTCTTTTGGCCACTATAATGGGAAATTCATAATGCACTAAATTAATTTAACACATAATAACATTCAATATTGATATGCAAAATATAATGATCAAGTAATGCTGCTTTGTGCAAGTACAGAATCAGTGAGGATGCCTAACGTCTAAGCACAATAAGGCTAAATTACCTTGCTAATGTCAGAGTCATGTAGCCAGGCAGGAAGCTGTTTTGACTGGCTGAGCACCTGGAAGAGCGTCGCCCTTAGTGCACAATAGTTATCACCTCTTACTCTGCGCAGATTGAACTCACTGGCTATTGCTTCATATCCCTAAAAAAAGAAGCATGTGTAAGCAATGCCCTTTGAAAAAGAAACACTTACAGTAAAGTGTGAAAGAAGCAGGCTCACCTTTCGAATAAGCAGACTTTTTGTGGTGTTGCCTTTCCATTCTCTCTCACTGTAGGTCTGAAGATCTTCGGCAGCTGACACGCTTCTCTGGGCCTCACCAACAGCCGCTGATGGGAAGAAAGACACCTCTAGCTCAGGCAAAAACAACCTCACAGAAATCTCTTACAACATTTCAATACACACTGAACGTTCTTCAAAAACTGAGCACTACCCGACTTTGACTGCTGCTTGTCTTGCAGCTCTTTTTGAATTTCTTCTTCTCCTCTGTACAGGTCCACATCACTATGAAACAACAAAGACTCATTGTAAAATGGTGCATAGTAAGTTG